TAAGACTATAAATTGTAAAGTCTCTGTCCACCTGTATCCTCAGAGGAAGCTCCTCACTGGGAGTTCCCTTTATCTCCATTCAAAATAATAATAATAATAATAATAATAACAATAATAATATAGAGTATATTCTATAGAAGCTATTACAAAGATATGAAGATTTTTGAATCTTCACTGAGAAATTCCACACCTGGGATCCCTGACTCAGACAAAGATAGAGAAGGGCTCAATGCTTAAATCTGGACCAGTCTTCTCCCTCCTAACCACACAATTCCACAAAAAATCCTTCAGTAACCAAGTGTTAATTAGATACCTCATCCTCTGGAGCCACAGCATCTCAGACTCACAGAAACTGAGAGAATCCATCCAGTGCAAAAGTTCTTAAACTGGGGTCCACAGATAACCTCCGCCCAGCCAAGGGATCTCTAGATCAATTTTGGGGGAGTCCATGAACTTGGATGGAGAAAAAAAAAATCACCTTTATTTTCACTAATTGCTAACTAAAATTTATCATTTCCTTCAATGATGAATTTTACAAAAAAGAAACCACTGAGAATAGGCCTAATAGGATTTACAAAAGAGGTTAAAAAAATCCCTGATCTAGTTCAACCAATATATAAAAAGAACACCACTTGAAAAATATCCAAGGTGGGAAAAAGTACACTCTGTGGTGGGCAGCCCATTCAACTGTTGGGCTAATTATGAGGGTTTTCCTGACATGAAGCCTGAATCTGCCTCTTTGCAGCTTCCATCCACCACTCCTGTCAATGTCCTCTGGTGATAAACAGAGCAAGTGAAATCCATCTTCCACCTGACACCCCTTTCAAATGTTTGAAGAAATTATCATGTGCCTTCTGAGTCTTTGCATCTCCAGGTTAAGCATCTCCAGTTCCCTGTGAAGTTGATTTTTTGGACCTAGGTATAAGTCTTTTACATTTATCCCTACTGAAGTTCATCTTATTAGATCTAACTCAACACTGTAGCTATTTAAGACCTCTTCGGAGCCTAACTCTTCCAATGTGTTAGCTATTCCCTCCCAGCTTTGTGTGCTCTGCAACGGTGATGATTATGCCATCAATGCCTTTATCCAAGTCATTGATAAAACTATTAAATAGCACAGGGCCAGCACAAATCTCCAGGATACTCAGCTTTTGCTATGTTGACAACAAACAACTACCCTTTGAGTCCAGGCATCCAACCCACTTTCAATCCATTCAATTGTATGTACTACCCACTCTCCATCTTTTCCACAAGAACAGGATGAGATATTTTATCCAAAGCTTTGCTAAAATGTAGATAAACTATAACCACAGCACTCTCCTTCTCCAATCAAGCAGCCTATTAACTATGCCAGAAATGGAAATGAAGCTAGTCTGGTATAATCTGTTCTTGAAGAAACCAGATTGGCTCTTTGTAACCACCACTTTCCTTTCTAGACATTCTGCAGCCAACTTTTTAATGATCTGTTCTAGAGTTTTCTGAGGAATTGAAATTAAGCTTATTGACTCATTGGTCTGTGGGCTCTGTTCTCTTTCCTTTTTTGAACATGAGGACATTTGTCCTTCTCCAATCTTGTGGGCCCTCCCATTCACTATGATCTTTCAAATATCACTTACAGAGATCAATAATGATATCTGCAAGTTCTTTCAGTAGGTAAGAACATTGTTTATCTGGACCTGGTGATTTGAAGTCTTCAAGAGAAGCTACATATTCCCTTAAAGAGTCCTTACTTATCTTTAGAGGCAACTAGATGGCCCTGGGCCTGGAGTGAGGAAGACCTAAGTTCAAATATGGCCTTAGGTGCTCACTAGCTGTGTGACCCTGGTCAATTCACTTAAGCTCTGTCTGCCTCAATTTCTTCATCTGTAAAATGAGGGTAATAATAATACCTACCTACCTGTCAAGGTTGTTGTGAGGATACAATGAGGTAATATTTGAAAAGCACTTAGCCTGGAGGCTAGCATATATTAGGTGCTTAATAAATTTTTTTTCCTTTATTCCTTTTATTCCTTTATTTCCTTATTATTTCCTTTATTAACTCATTAATAATAATAAAAGCATGTGGCAGCTAGGAGGCACAGTAGATAGAGCACAGGTCCTGGAGTCAGGAGTACCTGAGTTCAAATCTAGCCACAGACACATAACATTCACTAGCTGTGTGACTCTGGGTAAGTCACTTAACCCCAACTGCCTCAACAAAAATAAATAAATAAAAATATTAATAACAGCAATAATAATAGTTAACATTGACATAGCACTTTAGAGCTTGCAAAACACTTTACGTATATTATCTCATTGTATCCTCGCAGTAACCCTAGAGATAGATGCAATTATTATCTCCATTTTAAAGGTAGGGAAACTGAGGTCCAGAGGCAAGGTTAAGTGACCTGTCCAGGGTCCAAGTCCAGCACCTCATGCATTATGCCATCTAGCTGACAACTCTCCTGTCCCATCTAGTGCACAGACCGCTCATGAGGAAAATGCTTCATTTTTGCCTTTTTGTCCCCAACACCTATCTCAGTATCTGTCACATATTCTGTATTTTAAAAAGACTTGTTTAATTGATTTGAATGCTAGAGATATATAGGAGGAATACAAGCTGAGGTCCCTGCCTTCACAGAGTTGATGGTTTAGCTGGAGAGACAAATTCAGCAAAAATGAAACCATTAGAAGTCCAGATGTGGATTAAGGCTAAAAGACTCTAAGGACCATAGGCAAGCAGAGGAGAAGGAAGGCCACTCTCCGGTGCCAGGTAGGAGCAGCTGAAGGCAGTCTGAGATCAAACCAAGAGGATGAGATGCAGACAACGCAATGGCCTAAATCTTGGGGGGAGGGGGGTTGGGGCGGAAGGAGGGAAGTCACCCTGACCCTGTGGTTGAGGGCCGGTCAATGGAGAGAGGAAGAGGGAAGAAGAAGAAACTCTAGGCAGGGTGACTGGAGGAGAGAGAATGAATGAGAAAGGGGAGAGTAATTACAGTGAGGAACTCCAAGGATAAATACAGCAAGAATGTGGTTAGCAGCATCCTGCCTACACATCTAGGGGTGGGGAGGGGGCAGGAGTCAAAAGGCTTTGCTTCTACAGTTCTCAAACCCTGCCAAGCTTGATGTCAAACCAGATGGAGTTAAGAGGAGGAGAAAGCAACAGAAAAGCTCAGCACCCAGGCCAGGGACTGAAGCAAGGTGGCTTATTCACATCCAAAATGGAAAAGGAAAGAGATGGGCCCTCCTGAAAACAGGTGGAATCAATCAACAGGCATTTATTAGGCACCTACTATGTGCCCAGCACTGGAAATACAATGTAAAGAATGAAACAATCCCTATTGACAAAAAGCTTACATTCAGGGGCAGCTAGGTGGTATGGTGCATACCTCACCAGCCCTGGAGTAAGGAGTTCAAATCCGGCCTCAGACACGTAACACTCACTAGCTGTGTGACTCTAGGCAAGTCACTTAACCCCAATTGCCTCACAAAAAAAAAAAAAGCTTACATTCAAATGTAATAGCATTGAGCTTCTTTTTGGATCTCTTTAAGAATCAATTCTTAAGTATATGGCTCTAAAATATATATAATAAATATATATATATTTTATATATAAAATATATAATAAAAAATAATAGTTAGAATTTCTAAAGTGCTTTAAAGTTAGCAAAGCACTTCACCAGTATAATTTTATTTTATCTTCAAAACAGATTTAGAAGGTAAGTGTTATTATTATCCCTATTTTAAAGATGGGGAAACTGAGGCACACAGCATTTAAATGACTTGCTCAGGCTCACACAGTTAGTTAAGTGTCCAAGGCTAGATGCAAACTCAGGTCTTCTTAACTCCAGGCTTGGCACTCTATCCACTGTACCTCTTAGCTGCCTATGTGACTCTTAGCAAGTCAGTTACCTCTGATTATATGCCTCACAGAATGATAGGATCCTACATTACAGCTGAAGGGACCTTAGAATCCATCTGGTCCACCCCCTTCATTTTACAAATAAGGAAACTAAGGCATAGAGGGGTTAAATGATTTGCCCAAAGTCACACATCTAGTAAATGTCTGAGGCTGGACTAAACCCAAGTCTTCCTGGCTTCAAGTCCAGTGTCCTATCTACCATACTATGCTATTTCTCTCAATTTCAAAAGGTTGCTTTGCAGAAAATACTTTAAAGATTCCAATACTAGGCTTATGCCCCAGGGAAGCCTTAAGAAAAAAAAGTCCCCTCATACACCGAAACATTCACAGCATCGTTTTTTAGAACAGCAAAGAACTGGAAACAAAGTCAATGTCCATTGATTAAGGAATGGCTAAGTAAACTGCAGTATGTGAATGTGACAGAATATTACTGTGCTGTAAGAAATGATATGAGTGATGAATCCAGAGAAGCATGGAAAGATCTCTATCAACTGATGCAGAGTAAAGTAAGCAGAGCCAAGAAAACAATATACACAATGACTACAACAATGTAAATGTAAAGAAAACACACACACACACACACACACACACAAAATAAAAAGTGAATGTTGCAAAATTATGAAGTATGGCTGGAAAGAAGATAAATGAGAAGACACTCCCAAATACACCCTTTAAATAGGTAAAGGCACACAGATGTTTCACATTGCCATATTTTCAGACTGTCAAGGTACTGATCAGTTACGCTGATTTTTTTTTCCTTTTTGTTGTCTTTAAAAATACTATTTGTTATAGGAGATGGCTTTCTGGGAGGGGGAGGGATACTGGAGAAAATTATAGTGATGTAAAAAAAGATAAAGACCTTATTTTAAAAAAAAGTTAAGTACTAAATGTGAGCTACTAGCAATAGCAACATTAGTAGTTGTGTCTAGTCCAACCCATTTACTTTAAAGAAGAGGAAACTGAGGCCACAATACGTCACCCCAAGATATAAGCGAGCTCTTAATTCTACGAGCGTGAGGTCACCCAGAAAGGTTGAGAGCCCGAGTGCCTCCAAGACAAACCAACTAGACCACAAGGTCAGAGGCATCGATCGGCTTACTTGAACTGGTGTTCTCGGGAGCCGCGGATCTTGGAGGAGAAACGCTCGGCCAGCTTCTCCAGGCTGCGGGAATACTCGAGCTCGATCTCTGCCTTCCTTCGGAAGAACTCCTGGAGGTCCTGCAGCAGCTGCAGCCTCGACTCGGACTGCTGCTCCAGGCATTTAAACTGCTCCACCAACTGAGTCCGGATTTCTGCAGGCAAAGCAAGAAAGCGGGGCGTTAGGCCAGCGTTGGGGGCAAGGGGCACTGCTGGTTACACGTGAACGTAGATAGGTCTTCTCTGCCCTCCTATTCGTCTCAAGGGGCTTTAGTCCTTCGAATATGCAAGCCAGCTATCATTCCTACCCCCCAAAAAAGTCTTCTCTCCTCCAGACTAAGAACCCCCATTTCCTTCCACCATTCCTCATATGCCACGTTTTCCAGACCCTTTAGCACTCTGATTGCTCCCTCTGGATGCATTTGTCCAAGTTCCTCTTAAAATACTCAAAGCATCTGCCCCACGACCAGATACTGTGCATTATATTTCCATTTATCTCCAATGGCTCGCACAAAACTGAGCCCATATAAGGCGCTCCGTAAATATTTGTTGAATCAATGCGATAGAGAGTTCCGTAATCAGGGTTTAACCACAGGGCATCAAATTTAGAGAGCACTGACAGAATTTGCCACGGCAACCCACAAACAAAGCTCATTAACTGGGTAGCAAAAAGAAAATTTCTCTTTTCTCCCATTCCTCAGCTTTTTGCCAGTGTCCTAGGTTTCTATGTCCACACCACATGGTGATGCTCCAATCCCAATTCCCAAAGGAGAACATTTTTTGTTCTTCTTGCCCGGGGCATGGTTTGTGGTGTTTTGCCCTGGGCCTAAAAATTCCTAATTAAAACTCCATTTGGAAATAAACTGATGCTTTGAATTTCCAGGCAAAGTCTTGCCCACATGAAAGTATCAAAATCCCTCACACAATTAAATGCTAGCTTTCATTATTATCATTAATTAATTAATACCACTATTATCACCACCATCACTACTACTACTGCTGTTATTGCTGTCAAATCAAGGATGGCGTTATGGCACAGACCACATGAATCCCATAATATACCCATGGCTCCTAACCTCCAGGAGCTTGGAAGCAAATATGAAACAAATACAGAGAGGACAAAGCTTTGTGAACACTAGATAAGATTTTAAATTGCCTTGTCTAAATGTTACCATCCACAAAGGCCTTGAGTCTTAACTGTAACACATGCAACTGGATTTGTCACAAAATAAATACCAACATGGCCAGAAGGCAGAATTTTCTGCCACTAAAATTATAGATACTTAATAAAAAGTCCCTTGAAAAAATTTCCCTCATTCTTTGACTTCCTGCATGTTGTACCCTTAACAGCTGCCTACCTAGCCTGGGCCTTGGTCCATCTCTGGGCAGAGGACATCTCAATGTGCCTACCTCTGTGGAATGAAGATATCACTGAAGCAAGGTGGGCTTAGAATAGGTAATGGTTCTTACCGAGAAGAAATAATCACACCTGACCAAGGTTTTAGAGTTAATTCCATGGGCTAAGGATACATGTGGGCAGAATGTCACCAATAGCTGGAGAATCTTAAGGATGTTAAGGCTTCTAGAAACCTAAGGGATCAACTAACCCAACCCTATAATGGGTGACTGAGAGAAGCTAGAGAGGCAATATGGTTGAGTGGAGAGAGAGTTACCTGGGAGTCAAGTGGATTCAAACGCTGCCTGACACACACTAGCCCTCTGACCATGTATAAATCATCTGACCTCTCATGTTCTCTGTCTCTAAGACTATAAATTACAGAGTGGGTGTTGACCTGCATTGGTAGATGGAGTTTCCACACCAGGGACTTCCTCACACAGACGAAATGAAAGACAGAGAGACAAGGATGATTTGAAAACATACAATCTCAGTCCTTTTCAGCTACTCAATCATTCCCGTCTCTTAGTGCTCCTGGTAGGGAGCAGGGTCACAATCCTAGAGGAGATGGAGCACATAGCTCCCTCTATAAAGATAACTAAAAAATCAATACACAAATATGGCAGATTCAGTGGTTATGCTCTTAGAAAGGAATGTCTTAGGGAAAAAGAGACAATACTTTAGGCTGGCATGCAAAACATAATTTGGGTGATTATGTTATCCCTTACTTAAAATTCAGAATAGTATAGCAGAAAGAATGTGATATAGGAGACTATGCACTTCTCCAAAACCCAGGGGGAAAAGGACCTGAAGTAAGAATGATTAGAACTTAAGGCTTTCTAAACATTTCTCTGGCATCATCTCCTAAACTGGACAGAGATTGTCTCAGTCTCAGTTTCTGGGTACCTATAACAGCCAGCCTCTAGAAGGCTTATAAATCCTCAGAGCTGGTATTGTAGGACCTTAGGATTATAAATTTAGTCAGTCAATTAATAAATATTTATGAAATGCTTACTATGTGCCAATCACTGTGCCAAGTGCTGGGGACAACAAAGAATGGCAAGGATAGTCCTGCCCTCAAGCAGCTCACAATCTAATGGGGGAGACAAAAGACAAACAACTAGGTATAAACAAGATAGAGATAAAGACTGAGACAGAGAAGGACAGAGATCTCAAACCCAAACACATACAGTACTTAGCACAGTGCCCAGAAGACAGTCAGTACTTAATCAATGCATCTGACCAGGGCAGAAAGCAGTGGGATTGTCACCTTTTGTGACCTGAACATTCAGCTTCTACTAAGGTCCTGGGAGCTTTTTTAACCACTTCATCCCAGGGGTGGTTTGCATTATGGTCACATATTGATTCACAAGGAATATCCCAGGTCTTCATACTGAGTTACTATTAAACTGGGCCTCCACTATCCTGTTCCCATATAAATAGGAGGTGGCAGGGCTTGGGGGGGAGGGGGGAGGTAAGTTGAATGGAAGATGGATTTTATTCTGATCCCTGCTAAATTTCACATCTTTAGCTCTGGCCCAATGTTGTTGTAGCCATTGCCGTCATCGTCGTCATCATCACTATCATCTTCATCATGCTCATAACTAGCAATGTTGCAACAAGCCTTGATAGACTTTGAGCACCTTGAGAATAGGAACTATGTTTTGCCTTTCTTCACATTCCCAGCAGCTAGCACAGTACCTGGCACATAGTAGGTGCTTAGTAAATGATGACTGACTAATTATCTCATTTGATATTAATATAGGATTTTAATGTTATGCAAAGCACTTTACCTATGTTACCTCATTTGATCCTTCCAAAAACCCTGGGATCTAGATACCATTATCATATCCATTTTAACAATGAAGAAACTGAGGCAGATGGAGGTGAAGTGACTTGCCCAGGGTCATATACATAAGAAATTTCTGAGGCAGGATTCAAACTCAAGTCTTCCTGACTCTAAGTCCAGGGGTTTATCTACTTCACCAGACTACTTCTGAACATACTGGATCATGCCACCCAACATAACATGTCACCTGTCCCGCCCATCTCTGGATGACAAATCTAATAGGCACACTATATCTTCATTCAAGATGTGGAGGAAAATAGTGAACATGTCAGGACCAAGGACAAAGTCCTAAGGCCTACCGGTCCAGACCTCTCTCCCACTTAACATTGGTCCAGTAATTAATGTATCTGAAGTCCAAGTGATCAATTCCAAAACCACCTAAATGTGCTATCAACCAATTCATAATGTGCCATCTTGTCCAAAAGGATATCAGAGTAGTTTTGTCAAATGCATTGCTAAAATCCAGATATTCCATAGTGCAGCTAAAAGAGCCAGGGATTCAGAACACAAGGACCCAACTTTGCTATTTATTAACTATGTAACCTTAGGACAAGTCACTTCTTTTCCCCAGACCTCAGTTTCCTCATCTATTAAAAGAAAAGACCGGACTAGGTGATCTCCAACGTCCCTTCCAATTACATTCTACCACCTAGGCCTACCAGGATACAATGGACAAGCTTCAAACAGGAGCAGGCATGTGTAATTCTCAGACTTTGCTTAGGGCTCACAAATGTCTAGTCTCAGCTCTGTTACTTCTCCACTGTGTCAGAATATTCTTCCACCTCCCAATGGAAATCAACAGCTAACAGTACCACCCTTCCTTCCTCACTCCCAGTCCTTCATAGCAAAAGTCAGTGTGGCCTAACCAAATGTGCTCACAACCACAATCACTGGAGAAACAACTAAAGATGAGTGAACTCCAAATTTTTCCTTTCTTTTTTTTCTTGTCTTAGTTAATTTTTCCTTTGTATCATAAACTTCACCATCAACAAATATAAATATCTTAATGTACAAAGAATAAAGAAGCTTATAAGAAACCAAACTGTCACATCCAGTTTCTTCAAGTGTGTGTGTATGCGTGATATAGTATATATAATACATATATACATAGATGCAGAGATGATAACAATGTATTATTGAATAATATATTCATATGTATCTAGTAGATATGTCATCTACTAGATAATATATTAATGTATTTACATATGTATCTAATAGATAATCTATTATTAGATAATAGATACATATCTATTAGATACATATATAATAGACACACAAAAAAAAACCCAAAAAGTACAAAAGCATGCACAAATACAGCAATTTTGTTACAACCTCATTAGAGTGAATATGTTTACATATATAAAATAGTCTTCATTTAACAAAGTAGTAAAACAAAACTGCTTTGTGCCTACTTCTATACTTTTTTTGTTTTCTTTAGTGCATTTAAAAATGTTTTATTGATGCTCTTTTTTATATCTGTCACTACCTAATAACCTACTACCATCCACCTCAAGAGAAGCCCTTTGGGGGACAAAATAAATAAATATATAATCCAGAGAAACAAATCAATACATTGATCACATCTGAGAATATTTCATCGTGTACCTCAAGTCCATTATCTCTGTCAAGAGGCAGAAATGATGTTTGGCCCTCTATCTCTTAAAATTACCATTGTGGCTTTGATAGGAGTTTCATGGTCTTTGAAAGTTGTTTTCATTTATATTACTCTCTTTACTATGTAAATTTTTCCTCTGGTTCTGCTATGATATGGTTCCTCTGGTTTACTATGTAAATTTTTCCTCTGGTTCTGCTTATTTCCCTCTATATCAGTTCATAGAAGTCTTCCTATGTTTCTCTGAAACCATCCTATTTGTCATTTGTTCTGTATTCCCTATTATTGCATCACATAC